CCCCAAAGTCTCTTCCCTACAAAGTGCTCAATAAATGAATCTTTGCTCGCTTAAGTGTGCAGCAACAACATTTAGTATTCAGCAGCTGCAGCCTCAGACTGACGGACAGATGGAGGGGGCGGGACATGCAGACAGGTATAAATCCAGCCCAACAGAGGCAGACAGGTGAGGACAGGTGAGGCGACAGCAGAGAGGAAGCTGCTCATTGAGAGGCAGGAGGGCGGACGGCTGCTGAGTCTCTGACCTTTTCTAACATTCCCTTTAAAGATCAGACACATCAAAATAGATTTTTCTTCTGCTGCTGCTCCCATCCTCAGCGTGACGCTCTCTCACCGGCTGGATTTATTCTGAATAAAAGTACAAGTTTAAGGTGATTTTCTGCTACTTTCTGCTCCATGTTTTGCTTTTCACTCGGCAGCGTCTCGTTGAGGCCGTCTTGTCTCTTTGCAGTACCGCTGTGTTTCTCTGCAGTTATTTTCGTCTCGTCGTATCCACTTTGTGTGAACTTGGAGTCATGTAGTCATTTTTTTTTCGCCTTCAAGCTGCTTCACAACCAGCACGTAATCCTCTGACTTTGATTTTACATTCGTAAGTTGGTGATTCGTCTCAGAGCTCGTCGCTGTTTGTGATGATTAAACTCAGATCAGGAAGAACAAATGAAAACAGGCTTCATGTTCTATGGATGGAAAAGACTTTGGCTTCAGTCAGTTGTTGTTTAGTGTCGCTCTGTGGTGGTTTTGTGTCTCTCTGTTGTCATACATCATCTCATTGTGGTTCTTCTTTGTCTCTCTGTTGTCCTATATTGTGTGTTTGTGGTTGTTTTGTGTCTCCTGGTAGTTTTGTCACTCTGCAGTTGTTTCATGTGTTTTTGTTGTCCTATATCGTCTCTGTTTTGTCTGTTTTTGTGTTTGTTTTCAGTCTCTTGGCGGTCATTTTGTGTCTTTTTGAGGTAATTTTGTATTTTTTTTGTCGTCACTTTGGATCTTTTTGTGGTCATTTTGGGTCTCTTCATAGTCACTTTATGTCTTAGTAGTAAGGTTGTGTTTTTGTTGTAACTTTTCTACTAAGTTTTGGGTTTTTTTGTCTTTTTGTTGTCTGTCAGTAACTTTGATCATCTTTCCACTGCTGTCTGATGTTTTCTGCGACTAAATATGAGCCCAGTAATTAAAACGATAACCATCTGAGCTGCAACATCGTCCTTTAGAGCCAAAGCCTGACTCTGGTGTGTGTCCCTGTTGCGTTGCGTGTCGTCGGTCCTCACCTTGAAGACGAACATCTCCCTCCTGAAGAAGGCCACCGTGTTGAAGTTGCCGTCGCAGATGTTGGGCTTCCCGTTGCCAGGCAGCGCCGGCCGGTCGCCGGGCGGCCGAGCCGGGCGAGAGTGTTTCCGCTCGGAGGTGGAGTGTGTTCGCCTGGAGGGGAGGGTGGGCAGCGGCCTGGTGGGCTCCAGCATCGCCGTGGGGATACCTGAGGACACGCAACAGCGACACCACACACACACACACACAGCGGCACGAGTCAGTCTTCTCGTAGGTTCATGGTAGCAACTGGACCTGCTTTAGTTCATTGAAGACGTTCCACCTTCATCCAAGAGGCTTCATCAGCTCTGACTGACTGGTTGGGAGCTCCACATACTGAGATCCTGAAGGAGCCGAAGGAACCCAAACTCAGGTGTTAATGTCTCCTTCAGGATATCAGTATGTGGAACTCCCAACCAGTCAGTCAGAGCTGATGAAGCCTCTTGGATGAAACATCTTCAAGGAACTCAATGAAGTCCAGTTGCTATGACTAAACTCCCAGAAGAACCATGACCTGGAGGACTGAGGATCTTCACAGACACCATCCTGGTTGTTGTCGGACACGTCACTAAAAGACGTTCCAACATCGTCCAGAGACAGAAACAGCTGCTTTGTGATGACTTGTTCAAGTTTTAATTTTGCCAAAGCGGGCCAAACCACATTTTCTACTTTTTGGGAAAAAAACTGATTGAGGGTTTGTGTTGACATCATGAGGACTCGAGGTACGTTTGAGGGGCAGAACCAGACGTTCGGTGGTGGTCAGTTCAGGTTTTATTTCATCTTCCTGCTGCAAGTTCCAAACGTTTGGTTCTGAAGCATCTATTAAGTGGTGAGAAATAAAAGTATGCCTACATGTGCACTTTGCAGAGGAACTTCAAATCCAAAACAGTTGAACTTAAAGCCGAGGTGGTGTGAAGAGGTGACAAACAAGACGAACTTCACAAATTAGACAAAACTTCACAACCTTCTGAACAGTTGGCTTGTGGGGCACTTTGGAGACGCACAAACTACTTCAAGCAAACTTATCGTCACAGTGAGCTGAGAGCAGCAGACAGTTCCCACAGAGTCGTGACAGTCGTACCCGATCTGTTGTGCTGATGGCCTGATTCAGGTTCTACCTTCGTTCCTCAGTGTGCTCCTCTCTTTGTCCAACCTTCAGGTTTTTGTGCTCTTTTTGAAGTTGGGTTTGGCGGGGCTTGGGGTGGGGCTGTCTGCCATCTTTAATCGCACACACGCTACAGCTACCTGCGATATCACGGTCAGTTGTTCCTGTGGCTCGGCCCAGTCTGCCAGAACCATTATGGGCCAACCTCAAAGTGGCATTGTGCCGTTACCGGTTGGTTGGACCACTCTGACCCCAACTAGTCGACCATAAACACTTATCGAGAAACATGAAACTCAACTTTGGGTTTTGGTGGTTTGGTCCGCAACTGATCTGGTGTGGGTTTTTACCAGAACTCAGATCTGCTGCACTGGTTCTGAACGTGCTCCTCACCGTAGATCTTCTGGATGCCCTGCAGGTCGTCCAGCGGCAGCTTGAAGTTGTGCGTGTCCATGTACTGGTAGAACGGAGCCATGATGGCGCTGGGGTCGTTGGAGTGCTCCAGGCCCAGAGCGTGGCCCAGCTCGTGGACCGCCACCAGGAACAGGTCGTTACCTGGAGACGAG